GTCGAAAAGAAATTATTAGTCGTAAGGAATAATCACATGCCAATACAAAAGTATTAGTGATCTCTGATGAACAATTCAATGGTAGTGAAGTTTGTACTGTAAACGTGGTGCATAAAGAAGCATTGCATAATCAATAATGTACAATCAATCATCTGTTCCATTTTAATTTGTAAAGAATCTCAATCTTCAAACTCAATTATAAGAGGTCATTACCTCTAAAAACTAATTTCTAAAACAAATTATTCACCTAGTTAATTATAAAGATGGTCTATCGTCTCAAAATTAAAAACCAAAACCCATATAAAGAAAACTAAAGAAAGCATTCGTGTTTTTATTTTCATGTAGACTATACAATAATGATATTTTATTGCACCATAAAATAATATAGGATATATTCTGATAAACGAAAAGAATCGTAATTCAAAAAAAAAAAAAAAAAAAAAAAAAAAAAAAACTCTGAATATTATAATAGCCATAATTGATAAGCATCACAGGTGTCAAAATTGAAGATTCGAGATAGATCATAGAAGGTCTAAAACAATTTGATTTTGGATGTCGGGATATGTCGACGTGCTGTTTTTTCTATTTATTTTCCATGTTCCTATAATAATTAATAAATTATTTTTGATTATAAAATGTATTTACTAAAATAACTCTCCAAAGCTTAAATAATATATTTTGAAAGCTTAAAAACACTAGTTATATACGTACTGACACTTCTAGACTGTTCCACATGTTTACTTTATTTTATATTTAATCATTTTTCTAATATATTAATGCTTAATCAGTTAACAATAAGATATAACATAACATTGGATCCATCTCACATCTTATGAAAAAATAAAGCAAAACTGACTGAGAATATTGATTGAATCACACTAGGCCCAAAAAACAAGTTTATTAGTGGACTAAGTTTTATTCAATTTGGGCCATTGTTATCTGTATAGAGCCCAGTATATGTTTGATGCGTATGGGCCTGGCCCAATGATCGCGTGTAGTCACTATAGATATCTGGCGCGTGGCCATGGCAACTCAACCTTTTCCCCTTGCCTTGAGAAAGGGGGTATACCACCGTATACGTCCCACACCCTTCTCGCACACACACAGACGCACAGAAGACGAAATCGGTGAGTATGCTTTTAATTTGTTTTTCGCATTATCAAGTTTCCGATTGCTTGTTGGCTTATATAATCTCTGATTGTCTCATCTTTGGTTTTCGTCACGTAATTCGATAGCTTATTTGATTCGAGTTGTGACTGTAGACGACAAATTGAAAGATGAAGGTTTTTGTGAAAACATTGAAGGGGACTCACTTCGAAATCGAAGTAAAATCCGAGGACACGGTTCGTCTCGTTTCAATTCTGCTTTTTTTGTTTCTTTTTTAACGAATCGTGATGTTTCTATGTGTAATCGATTGGGAGCTAGGGTTTTATACGTTGTTTGATCTGAAGTTTTAGTCGATAATGTTTGTAGTATGATTTTTACTTTTTGGATTATGAAATTGATTCCTTAGGGTTTAAGTAGCGGTATTCCGTATTAGTAATTAGATTGTCTTTTTCTTTTTTCGCTCATGTCAATTGATTAGTTTCAGTGAAAATATTAAGTAATCATAATCGAAATACTCCAACGCATCTAACTCCATGTACTTTCGTTTTATTCATCTAACAGGTAGTTATATAAATTGTGAATCGCTATGAATTATTAGAATTGATGTGTGAAATTGTTGGATGAAGCATGTTTCATGCTTACATGATTGTTTGTTTGTTTTCAAGAATAGTAAATTACTGTTAAAATTCCCTTGAATTGGAATGGGAAGTATGTGGTTGAAGCTGCCACCTTGTTAGAGAAATTAGCTGCTCTTATACTCAGTATAGTCTATGATCTCATTGCGTTAATCTAGTTATTAATTTACATCCACAAAGTGATTACTTATTTACTTGAGAAAGCAGCGACAAACGAGTAAATGGTATTTGACTTTTTTCAGGTTTAATAATTTAATGCTGGAAATCAATCAGTTGAATGTTTCACATAGCTATACAACTCTATTTTAGGTTAATACATTCTATATATCAGGAAATTAATTAAATTGTGGATTTCTTGAAACGGTTTCTATATTCTATCTGTCTCTTAATCCACTCGAGTTCTGTATAAAGATATAGTGATTATCGATTCAGGTTGCTGATGTGAAGAAAAATATAGAAAGTGTTCAGGGAGATGTTTATCCTGCTGCACAACAAATGCTTATCCATCAAGGCAAAGTGCTTAAAGATGCCACCACCTTAGAAGAAAACAAAGTGGCTGAAAATTCTTTCATTGTCATCATGTTATCCAAGGTAAAAAAAAAAAAAGTAACCCCATACAACATTTTCACATCATCATATATATAAATATAATCTAATTTATAATTAATTACAGACTAAGCCAACCTCTGGTGAAGCTTCAACAGCAGCATCCGCCCCAAAGGTAGTACTTTTTTTTAAAAAAAAAAAGTTTATATCTTTTTGTATCCAACTTTTAATGTTTATTGTCTTATTGTCATGCAATGAAGGCACCTCAGACAAGCGCGACTCCCCCTGCACAAGCAGCCACTCAGGCTCCACCACCTGTCACGCAGTAGATCTTTTTCTACATCTATAATTTCTTCATTTATATTTTCGATTCGTTCAACTAATGTTTTTTACATTTCCAGGCCTGTGTCTGCTCCTTCACCTGCTCCTCCAGCTTCCGATCCAGCACCTGTTGTGAATGCCACGTCAGCATTTCTCTCATAACCTTGAAATGCAATTAGTCTTTATTATTTATTAATGAGTGATTTTTTTTTTTATTTTTTTTGATAAAGGACTGGGAATGTATACGATCAAGTAGCATCGAATCTTGTATCAGGAAGTAATTTAGAAGGTACAATTCAACATCTTCTTGATATGGGAGGAGGAAACTGGGATAGGGATACAGTTGTTCGTGCTCTTCGTGCTGCTTTCAATAATCCAGAAAGAGCTGTTGAATATCTCTATTCTGTAATTCTTTTTTGATTTTTTTTTTTTCTATTTCTATTTTAATAATTAAATATAAAAACGTTTTCAATTTATAATTTTACCATGTATATTATCAGGGTATACCGGAGCCAGCAGAACTCCCGCCAGCTGCCGGAGTTTCACCACTGCCAGGTCTGCAGGCTGCTCAGCCTCCGCCAGCTGCAGCTGTTCCTCCAAGTGGACCAAATTCAAACCCTTTGGATCTCTTCCCTCAGGTATTCAATATTTTTCTTGACTTTTCAATTTTCGTTTTAGACCCTGTAGATTGTAAACTTGTCGTGTTTGGTCCAGGGTCTTCCTGACATGGGCGCAAATGCTCCTGCTGGTGCTGCTGGCAACCTGGATTTTCTTCGTAACAGTCCACAGGTATTTATTTATAAATTTATAAACTAGTCAAACATAATTAATTATATTATCAATAAAATAAAAATATAATTCATATTTTTGTTTTCCAGTTTCAAGCACTTCGAGCCATGGTGCAGGCTAATCCTCAAATCTTGCAGGTATTTCGTAAACTGCAATTTTTTTTGTTTTTTATAAACATGATTAATTAAAAAAAAAGTATATGGTTATGTAATTAATTATTGTGATTTTTATTGATAGCCTATGCTACAAGAGTTGGGGAAGCAAAATCCACACCTGGTGAGACTGATTCAAGAGCATCAGGCTGATTTCCTTCGTTTGATCAATGAGCCTGTTGAAGGGGGAGAGTAAGTTATTCTTTTTTTGTTCGTAAATAACAATGTAGTTTTTAATTTTACACTTTAGTCCTTGAAGAATGAGATGGTTTGAATTTCAGGAACGTACTTGGAGATCTTGCTGCAGCGATGCCACAGGCTGTGACTGTTACCCCTGAGGAACGTGAAGCCATTGAACGCGTGAGTTTTTATATTTATATTTATTTTTTTAGTTTTCCATTTGTTATATGAGTTGAAAATAAAATGATATTTGTTTTAATGTGAAATAATATATTTAGCTTGAAGCAATGGGATTTGATAGAGCACTAGTGTTAGAGGTGTTTTTCGCATGCAACAAGAATGAAGAGCTTGCAGCTAATTACCTGTTAGATCATATGCATGAGTTTGAAGACTAGTAGACTCCTTGTTTGTTGATAAATGGTGGTGGGACCAGATCAATCTTCCTGGTTATTTCTTTCTACTGTTTTCTTGGTTTGCTTTTTTTTTTTCTATTTTTTTTTTTTACTTTCAAGTGCGTATACTAGTGGTGGTGTTGGGAAAAGACAGAAATTGAATTGTTACTCTCTCTCTCTCTGTCTCTCTCTCCTTTGTTATTTATTTGTATTTTGGACCTTCACATTTTGTCTTTTTTTCTATCACAATAGTTGTTCCATTTGGTGAAAAATCATTAGTGCTATTTTAGTCTTGGGTGTGGAATACAAGTTTGTGATAATTAATCTATTAACTAATAATTGCTATGTATAATAGAGTGTGTTGTCTGTTGCTGTGTCCACTACCAATGTTGTACATTATTGTAGTAACATTATTGGTAAAAACATTGCAAGGAATTCTCACATACCATATGCAAATCATTTGAATCATCGTAAGCAAAGACATTCTTGAATGTCGATGAGGTCAAGGTCAATGTAATCTTGTTAATCTCATTCTAGAATGTTGACGAGGTCATCGCGAGCTCTATTTTTTTTTTTACAATAAATTTCTTAAGATTTTTATTTAAAAATAACTAAAGTTCTTTGTTGGATCTATAATTCTAATACTACCAAGAGATGGTAAGGAAAAAATATGTAAATATTTAAAACAAATAAGATTTTTGACCTCTTGGGGTTTGTGATGTTCGACCGACTTGATTTTCGTATAAGGGATATTTTGTCATCAAACAAAACACTAGGGGTAAATAATGTCATATGACCAAATTACAAGGTCCATATATATATATATATATATATATATATATATATATAACTAAAATTGAACACACCTTGCAAGTAATAGGAAATTCAGTCTATGCTACACGCGCAAACTCACTTGTGACGTGTCCCATGGAGGCGCGAAAAGTATAGTCAAACCGCCACTACCTTCATATATTCATCCCCTTTATTGTTGGGTTAAGAAGATTTGATCCATACAACATCAAAAGCATTTTTTTAAATCAGAGATATTTTTGGAAAGTTGCCTTTTACGAAGTTTATTTTCCAGATTTAGAGTTTGAATAGGATTACTGTCTTAACTATTAATTACTATAAATAGTTGTAATCGTTGTTTTGTTTAAAGTTTTACAGAATATACTTAGGCTCCAAGTAATTCTCCTTTCTCCTGTTTTTATACCTCTGTTTCGTTTCTCCCTGTCATCCCCTCTTCTTCAATTGTTCTTGTGATCAGAGCAAGTTTCAAACACTTGCAAATTTTACATTCATCAACCCCCCAAATCTATCCGACAATATCATACGCTTTTGGGGCAAACCTGGATCTTAGCAGACGCAAAAGATAAATTCAATGGCTCTTTTTTCCTACTTCAGCTCCACCAACAGGAGCACGGAATGGTATGTTCGTCGTTAATTCGCGATTTCTCTTACGATTTTTGTTTAGTTTTTGCAATTGATGATTCGGAAACTGCGTTTTGTTGCTTATGTCAAATCGTGTGATCTCAGGAGCAACTCCAAGAGGATGGATTATAGCGTCGGTGATAAATTTGAAGACGCTGGAACAAGGACCTCTCTTTCTTCGATCGCTGATGCATTTGAGGAAATTTCGGATCTGATTATAGCAGGAAGAAATGGTGATTTTGCTGTTTTGAAATTGAAGCCTTTTTGTGATGCGTGTTCTTTCGTTTCTGTGCTCTTCGGTTCCCTTGGCATCGCTTTTAAATTCGCCGAGATGGAATACACCTCTAAGGTTTTGTTGTTTTCTCTTTCTGAAACTCAACTAATGCTTTTCTTAACCCTAACTCTGGTAGTTAAAATCAATTCATTCAAAATCCTCGATTTGGTTTTCAGGTGCGTGATCTAGAAGAAGCATCAGAACGCTATGTGAGTTTAAGCAGTGTAGTTGATTATGATGTAAAATGGAAGACAGTGAAGTCACATGGTAGCCATACTCGTAATCTTCGCAGAGTTAGACAGGGTCTTGACCTAATTCGAGAATTATTCCAGAATTTTCTATCAACCAAGTATGTTCTTATGACTTCTTACACCTGATTGTATTTATTAATTCTAGTGTTGTTAATTGCATATTCTTGTGGTGATGATTCAGTGATTACTCCCTAAAAGATGCAGCTTCATCAGCATATCAACAAGTGTGTGCGCCATATCATTCATGGGCTGTTAGAACTGCAGTTTCTGCAGGAATGTGTGCTCTTCCATCAAGGGAACAACTTCTGCTCAATTTAAATGAAACTGGTTAGTCATGGAATTTTTTTTTTTTTTTTTATTAATAAAATCATGGCAAATGAGGTTTGAAAAATTACTCTCTAATCTTGGATCCTAAACCTTATGACAGAGCAATCAGCAGCTGTGCAAATGCGAAGATATATAAAAGCGTCACTTCCGGTGATTAAGTACATAGATAATTTATACATTTCAAGGGGCATCAATTTAGATTGGTGATTTTGGGCATTGTTTTTCGTGATGAGATGGAGATTATGCATTGTCACCATGAAAGATGTTTAGTTTTGTAATTTGGCGAATTTAACACGTTGAATTTAGTTAAAACTTTACTAATTGGGATTTGATCAATGTTGGTTTTGGATTGTGGTGTTAGAATGAATAGCGAGAATCATTTGTTGTATGGATATATTTTCCTTTTCTCATATGTCGATCATATCACACTTTTTCAAGTGTCACATCACATTCCACAAAAAAAATGTTGGGTGTGATATGTTATCTTACCATATTTTTTTTTAAACTTGAACTAAATGTATTTTAGTTAAAAAAAAACATTTTTTTATAATTATTTTGTTGAATAACATGTGATTAACTAAAAAAAACTTCATTAATTTAATTGAAACGATTACATTCTTAAAACAAAAAAAAAACATAAAAACGATTAAAATCCTAAAAAACGACAAAAAAACATAAAATCGATTACAATCCTAAAAACGATTACTACTTGTAATATGTTTTTTTTGTAATATGTTTTTTCATGTTGTCTGCTCGAGCCTTCAAAACCATATACAACTCATCTTCATGGAGGTTATCAAAATGTTTCGTTAAAAATTTCATATCCTTGATCTTTTTTGCTTCTCCTCTCGAGCTCATTGCTTTTCCTCTCTTAATCTTTTTTTTTCCTCCTCCAACTTCTTTTCAAAAGACAATCGAATCTCAAAATTCAAATTATAAACTTCCAAACTAGTAGCAACTCTATTCACTTCATCTTCTCTTCCCATTGCCGATGTATTTGACGACGATCCTCTCTTTCTTGCCTTATCTCGACCCGTTGGACGAACTACTTCTTCATGCTCGAGTTTAGCCACTTCGTCAAATCAACCCCAAAATGTACACCTGATGAAGTAGTGTAAGTCGCCTCGAAAACTTTGGTTCTTTTCAAACCACCCTCTTTGTTACCATACTCTTTTATCCATTTCGGGGATTTGGATAAAATCTTCAAATGTCAAGAAACTTGAACGACTTCTTATTATTATCAACAAGAAAAAAATTTAAGAGTCGTCTCTAAAATTTGTTCATCGTCCTCCCCACTTTTCCGTTGAGTTAACAAATTGTTGTAGATGCTGTTAAATTTAGTGATAAATTTATTCATCTCACGAAACTTGCTAGTACACTGATCTTTGGTGCGGTACTCTCCACGATTCATGACCTAAACGTTCCCTTATGTGTCGCCAAAAAAGGTCATCTTTTTGCGTGTTTCCTTTCTTGGAATCCTCCGAAATATAGACTTATGATTGCGCTAAAACCAACTCTTTGTTCAGTTGCCATTGTTGAGAGGACATCTTTTTACGAATCGGTACTTTTCCTTTTCTGCGTTTTTTTGGGTTGGATGATTCGGGTTGGGTTTCCAGAACAATTTCGGGTTGGGGTTCGACTACCGGTTGAGTTACCCGAACAAATTCGGCTTCCTGTGACTGACTGTATTCCGGGAGGAGGGGAAATTTTTTAAACGCGGTTAGACTAAGTGGTTGCATCATGTAATATTCTTGTGGTATTTGTTGATAGATAAATTGTTAGGGTTGGAGTTGGACATATGACGAAATTGAAGAATGATTCATTTGTGGTCGGTAAACCGCCAGCTCGATCGGGCGAACATTTATAGACGATTTGCTATGAGCGATAAATTGAGGGCTGTTTGGATTCATTTTTGAAAGGAAAATGTTTTAAAAGTTGTGTAGAAGGTGGGTTGTTTGTCTAAAATGAAATAGAAAGATTGTATTTACAATGATTTTTGAAAAGAAAAAAAAAAACAATACTTAGCCGTTGGCAACGACTAGAAATGGCTCCTTCCCCATTTAACGTGCGGCAAACCTATACCCGAACAAAGCTATGCCGCGTTTTTTGGAACCTCGATACGGTGTTTACCGCATACCGCGGTATGCGGTTCACGGTGCACCATATAGCCATAATTAAGTTTGTGGTTGCGATTAAGGACTAAGAATGATTTTAAGAGCTTATTTGATTTGATTATACTAAAGAATAATCTAGGTTATTTAAACCTTTTAAATAAGGGAAAGTTGCAAAAAAAGTCACTATATTACCATAAAATTTTGAATTTGATACTGAATTTTTTTTCTGCAAATATGTTACTATATTTATAACTTTGTTGCAATATCAACCTAATGATCGTTACCATCAATCTAATACGTTACCAAATCAATGACATGACAATATATTAACGTGGAAGCCACATCTTACCATTAATTCAGCATTACGTGTACGAAAGAAAAATCAGTCTGACTCATAGCCGTGGTGCGACCAGTGGCGAAGCTAGTGGAGGGACTGACCGGTGCTTGGCCACTCCTAGCATTTTCAATTAGTGAATTGTAAATAGTAGTAGCTCATATTATATTAGTTTATCTACATTCCATTACATTAGCACACTAGTTTAAACGCTAGTTTCACCGATTTAACCAATTCATTTTTTTTAAAGATATTAAAAACACATATATAGTTTAATACATATTATATTCAATTGGATGCTAGTTAACTTAAACCACTTCTACCTATGTTTCTTTAAACTTTCACTTTAAATATCAAATAATATACCCTCTCTTTATATAATACTTGCATGGTCCCATTTTATGGATTCTCACTTTTCAAAATGAAAAAAAAAAAAAAATCTTTTGTTGAAATAGATTATGACATAACAAAACAAGATGTGCTCATTTAAAAAAGTCTCACTAAAAATGATGTGAATCTTAAATTCAAAACACTAAAATTGTGATCGCATCTAATTCTATTAAAAAATTAAAATACTTTGGACCGAGAAACACGCACAACTGATTTTTAAGACGCTAAAAACCACAAAACGCTAAAAACGAAAAATTCTAGAATCAAAAACCCTAAACACTTGACGACATCTTCACCTCCTAGTTACCGCTTACTAGTAACACCAATAAATAAGCCCCTTTATCCTAAAGTTCTAGCTCCGCCCCCGGGTGCGACCCTCTATAGGGCGCGACACAACGAGGAAAAAATCTCCCTATAAAAGGAGGGTCACCCCTCCTCATTTCTTTCCACCAATTCTTCCAACTCTCTCTCTCTCTCTCTCTCTCTCTCTCTCTCCCCTCGAGATTCTGATCCATCGTGATTCGAATTCTCGTTATGTAATCTAGTTAGCGAAGCTATGGAAATTTCGAAAGGATAACTAACGAAAGGATTCTTCCTTAATCTCCTTAATTACAAAAAATCTCGTAATCCACACTTTTTGAAGGACTATAGACCGATCAATCTTGTTGGTTGTTTTGTACAAACTAATTTCTAAGGTGGTTGCTAATCAACTTAAAAGAGTCATTGTTAAAGTTATTAGTCACAAACAAACGGTTTATGTTGAAGGAAGAAGTATCTTAGATGGGCCGCTCTTACTTAATGAAATTTATTGGTGGGCCAAAAAGGTAAAGAAGAAGATTTAAATTTTCAAGGTGGACTTCGATAAAGCTTTTGTCTCGTTAAGTTAGGAGTTCTTAGATTCGATAATGGAACAAACGATGTTTGGATGGAAATGGAGGAGATGGATCAAGGGATGTTTTGATTCTAGTAGAGCCTCTATTTTGGTTAATGGTGCTTCCAAAAAGGAATTCAATATTAATAGGGGTGTTAGATAAGGTGATTATCTCGCACCTTTTTCTCTTCATAATTGACATGGATGGTCTTCATATTTCCATGGAAGCAACGTGTGACTTGCATTATTTTCGGGGGCTTAAACTTCCTTATAAGGGTTTCAATATTCCGTACGTTATGCATGCCGATGACGTGACATTTATTGGAGAATGGTCGGAGATCAACTTCATCGGTCTTAATAGATTGCTTCTTTGTTTTTTTTTCTTGCTTCCAGTTTAAAAGTGAATTTTGCACAAAGTGTATGGTCTTCGCATTAATAATCAAGAGGTTGATAGACTTGCTAGTATCTTGAAGTGTGAGTCTGCTTCCTTTCTGTTTACTTATCTTGGGCTTCCGGTGGGGGCGAATATGAAACTCTATAAGCATTGGAGTCCCGTCAAAGACAAATTTGGGAATAAACTTTCGAAGTGGAAAGAAAAATGTTTCTCCTTTGGTGGTCTGGCGGTCCTCAACAACATTATTTATATTTTTCTCTCTTTCTCTTTTAGGGCCCCGAAAAAAGCTATTAATGTGTTGGATGACATTAGGAGACAGTTTCTATAGGGAGGTGATGAAGACAAGAGCAAGATCAATTGGCTGGCTTGGGAGGTGGTTATTAACCCAAAGGAGATGGGAGATCTTGGAGTTGGGTGTCTTGATTCAGCTAACTTGGTGGTGATGGAGACTGAAAATAAGTATGATTATTTTTGGTTTTCTCATATAAAGCTATTCATAATATTAAGTGTACTGATAGTAGATCGATAGCCAAGAAGTCTATTTAAGGTGGTTGAGTATTTCTCATATCAATTGTGATTTTGAAAATAAAGGTATTTGTAACAACCTGAAATTCCGTATAATTACTTGTAACTCTTTTCGTAGTTCAATTTGATCAACCAATCGTCGTTTTCAAATCCGATTCCGATTTCGTTATTTAATTAAGTCATTTATTTGTACATATCTAATATGACTTAATGGGTATCCTAATGCATTTAGAAATCATTTTAACACCCCATTCTAGTAATCGGAATATTTTTAGAATTTACCATATCGGGTTACGACAACTTAATTGGGTACGACCAAAAGCCCCGCCTAACGCCGGTATCAGGGTAGAATTCCACCGTGTCCAAAACTTAGACACTATATAAAGTGTTCTAAGCCTTCATTTGAAGCTTTTGGCTTCATCTCACTACTCTCTCTCTAACCTCTCTCCTCATTCTAGATTAAGGTCCAAAATCAAAGATTTAAGGCTCCAAATCATAGAGGTAACCTTCCTAGCTTGTTATTCAACCTCTTAGGCCTTCAAATTTGTGTTTAAGTTGTGATTTTGGACCCGGAACATGTATTTACGGCCAAGGAGCATGCTTGGGCCGTAAACACATAATATTGGGGTTTTTGAGCACTTTAACCCTTCCAAACCAACATTGGGACTTAGATACGACCTTGAGGCTTACAAATCTGGACTTGGAACACCTTAAACTTGAATTTTGAAGGACAAATGAGAGTTTACGGACAAGGTATGTGCTTGGGCCGTAAACTCCTCAAACATGGGGAGTAAACTCACTTTTACATGTTAGAATGCCTTGTAACTTAACCAATAGCCTTGTGGTAAATCCTAGAACCATCTAAAAATAGTTTGGAGACCTTAA